TTCGGAGTGCCAAGAAGCCTTCGAGTCTCTAAAGACACACCTCGGGGAAGCACCTCTCCTGTCAAAACCCCAGCCGGATGAATCTCTGTTGCTGTATCTAGCAGTTTTAGACGTGGCAGTCAGCGCGGTCCTAACCAGGGAAGAAAATGAGCGTCAATTGCCGGTGTATTACATCAGCGAAGCACTTCTCCCAGCTGAAACACGCTACTCCGACATGAAAAAACTGGCACTCGCACTTATCACAGCCTCAAGAAAGCTAAGGCCATACTTCCAAGCCCACTCAATACAAGTCCTCACCAATTTCCCTTTAAGACAAGTGATGCAGAAAACGGACGCGTCGGGACGCCTGCTGAAATGGGCTATTGAGCTCAGTGAGTTCGATCTCATGTTCCGACCTAGACGCGCTATCAAGGGCCAGGCCCTTGCCGATTTTATGGTCGAGTTTACCAAAGCCCCAGAAATGGAGGCCATAATGGAATCGACCGAGCCCCCCACATGGAAGTTGTTTGTAGATGAGTCTTCAGGAGAGGCTGGCGCGGGGGCAGGAATCGTGTTGGAAAGCCCAGAAGGCCATTTGCTAAATTGTGCTGTGAGATTCGGCTTCAGAGCCTCGAACAACGCGACCGAATATGAGGCCCTTCTGGCAGGTCTAAGGCTCGCTAAGGAAATGCAGGTCAGGAAGCTCCTAGCAAGCAGCGATTCTCAGCTCGTAGTAAATCAGGTAAATGGGGATTTCGCAGCCAAAGATGGTAACGTGCTCGCATACTTGAAGCTGGTTCTGGACATTATTCCCCATTTCGAAAGGTTCGAACTGACTCGAGTCCCCCGTCTAGAAAATTCCCATGCAGATGCCCTCTCAAAGTTAGCCAGCAGCATGGACTCAGAGCTTCTAAGCATCTTCCCCATTGAGCACTTATCGAGGCCCTCCACCTTCGAAGGCGAAGAGTTACTGTGGATAGAAGGCACCCCCTTGTGGATGCAGCCCATAATCGCGTATCTGAAGGAGCAAACACTGCCTGCTTCCAGAGGCGAGGCAAGAAAATTAAGAAGAAGGGTTGCACACTTCGTCCTTCAAGAAGACATCCTTTACAAGAGAGGCTTCGTTTTGCCCCTTCTTCGATGTGTGGGCGGCGAAGAGACCACATACATACTCAGAGAGATACATGAAGGGATCTGCGGAAATCACTTCGGAGGGACGGCTCTGGCGCACAAGGTTATCCGTCAAGGCTACTTCTGGCCAACCCTGAAAAGGGATGCTTGCCAATTTGTCCAGAAATGTGACAAGTGCCAGAGCTTCTCTAGCGTGCAAAGACAACCTGCTCAGAGCCTCTCTGTAGTGACCAGCCCTTGGCCATTCGCCAAGTGGGACATCGACTTCATTGGTCCACTCCCAAAAGGGAGGGGAAGCTCAACTTTCGCCATTGTCGCCATCGACTACTTCACTAAGTGGGTCGAGGCAGAACCCCTTGCCCGAATCACCGAGGCCAATACTACGAAGTTCGTTTGGAAAAACGTCATTTGCAGATTCGGCATCCCCCGCTCCATTGTCTCTGATAATGGGCGGCAGTTCGACAACAGGAAGATGCGAGACTTATGCGACGAACTGGGCATAAAGAAGGACTTCTCTACTCCGCATCACCCCCAGGCAAATGGACAGGTTGAAGCAGTGAACAAAACTATCAAGCACACCCTGAAAAGGAAACTGGATGCCTCGAAAGGCGCCTGGGTTGACGAACTCCCCCACGTCCTCTGGGCCATCAGAACGACTTGCCGGACTGCAACCGGCGAGACCCCATTTTCCATGACCTACGGAGCCGAAGCAATGAGTCCGGTCGAAGTTGGGGTCCCATCACATCGACGGATATATTTCAATGAGATCAGCAACGATGAGGCGCGCATAAGTGAACTACACTTCCTTGAGGAAAAGAGAGACGCTTCCCAAATGACCTTGGCAAAATATCATCACAAGATGACCCGCTTTTACAACTCCAAGGTCAAAAACAGAACTCTCCGCTTGGGCGACCTCGTCCTCAAAAGAGTTTTCCAATCTTCAAAACCAACCGGGTCAGGAGTTTTTGACCCGAACTGGGAAGGCCCTTACCGCATTCGGGGAGAATCCCGACCTGGTACCTTCGAGGTCGAAGATATGTCAGGAAGGATGCTACCTCACAAGTGGAACATCGAGCACTTGAGAAAATACTACCAGTGATAAGACTGTTTCGATCTGATCCTGAGTTGTCATAGCTAATCGGTTGTTCCGATCTGACCTTGGTTGTAAAGTTTATTAAGTGATGGAATCGCCTTTGTAAAGGGTGGTGTAATTTATCTTAGTAATGAATTTCCAGTTCCAAACCAGATCAGCTAGGGAATAGTTTCCTCAGTTCTTCGAAAGGTTCATTTGAGCGATCCGATCGTCAATTATTAGCTGATTACCAAGCGGTTCCTCGTGTTTCCCCAATTGGTCTGACCTCAAATTATTAAGAAGTTGAAGTGAGGAATCACTTCCTGCTCACTTAAGTGTTTGGACTTATGTTTGCTTAAGCGGACCGGTTCACAATTGTTAACTGATCGTTGTCACGAGGCAATTAGTCTAATGTTTGTCATTCATACAAGTATAAAACAAAAGGAATACAAAGAAGCAGAAGCCAAAAGACTTAACAGAAATTTAACAAAATTTTTCATTCCATTTCACAAAATTAAAGTACATTGGGGGCCGAAGCCATTACAAAATAAAAAATGAAAACCTAATCTGTGGGAGGAATTTCAGCACTGTTCGCCTCCTGGGCCTCTGGAGCCTCCTCAGTAACCTTATCAGGCCGACCTCCAGTGGGTCCCCCAAACTCTGCCTCCAGTTGAGAGATGTCCAGGGTAGGATGCACCTCCTTCAGTCGACCTAGTAGGCTTTGGGCACTCCACGAGGCCCAGAAGTTGGCAAAGTCGTCGTAAAAGGGATGGTCTTCGAAGTGATCAATAAAATTCTGAACCCCTACCTCCCCTGTAGACTTTAATTCTTCCTTCAGAGAGGCGATCTCCACTGACTGGGCCTCTGTCTGCTGCTTCAGCTCCACCTTTTCTCTGTTAGAGGCCTCCAGAGCATCGATGGCGAGCTTGTGGTGCTCGTTAGCGTGGTCAAGTCGCCGAGTCACCGCAGCCACTTGGCACTCCACTTCGTAGAACTCTTTCTTCAGCCGCTCCACCTCTGCCTGTGAAGCAGCAAGCTGGACCTCAGCAGCTCTCTTCTCCTCCTCTGCCTTGGTGGCTTTGGCCTGGGCAACTCGCACAGCATCCTCATAAAGCATCGCCTCCTCGAGGCGCTTGGCGAGGTCCTCCCTCTTGGAGTTTAGATCCTTCACTAAGCCCTCGAGCTGGATGCTTGTGCTTAGTGCCCGGGCCACGCAGGCGCTGTTCTCCGCCACCAAGTCTTCGGCCGTGCAGGAGGCGGTGTGGTCCCGCCACTCTTCAGTCCAATATTTGCTGTGGACCACCGCCACAACAGCTGTCTCTGGAGGAAGAGCCTCCAACACCTCCCTTACGGGCTCCTCTTGATTGGTGCCCAGGAAATCAACCTCTTTGGTGGAGCGGGCCCTTTTTCTCCTCTGCTACCCTGGAGCTTGTTCAATGGGTACGGTCGCAAGGGGCGCTGTGTCCGGGGCAGCGACAGGCTCTGCTGAAGCGGGGCTTCTCTCCGGGAGGGCCACCCCCGTGGGAATAGTTGTCTGCCTCAAAACTGGGGGTGGCCTCGTCACAGTTGGGCGTCTAGAAGGGGCAGCACTCTTCTTGCCCTTCCTTCGGAGGTCAGCCTCCGGGTCCTCTTGAACCTCCTCCTCCGTCGGGGGCTGGAGCCTCTTACTGACCTCCACCAACTCCTCCATTTGCTTCTTGTACGAAGAGGAGGAGGCCTTCAGCGCCCGTGCCTCGGCCATCATTTTCTGGATGGTCTTGAAGTCAGGGCGTACGGGCAGCTTCTTGCTGAAGTTATTTGCAAAGAAACGAATAAGAAATTAGTACAAGTCTAAGGAGTTCGGAATAAAAAAGTATGGGCTTCGGTCCTATTACCTTGAGACGCCATTAAGTCGTGAGTGATGAAATGGATGTTCTTACGGATCAGCCTGTGGTAGGACCTCTTCTTCTGAGGCAGCTGATAAATGACACAAATAGTGTCGAAGTCCTCTGTTGATAGCTCGCACCGAGGAAGAGAACCTACGAAAGCAAACATAACTGTTAGACAAAGGCCGAACCGAAGAGAAAATAAAAGGAGCAACAACTATACTCACTAAATGTTGAAAACTTCACCGGGACTGTAAGAGGCGCCAGGGGGTCCCCCTCCATTGTGTCCCATAGCCCCGCTGCCTAGCACCATGAGCTCTTCCATTCCTTGATGGAGCTCGGCAAATCGATCACAAATGGAGTGTGGGAACCCCATGACGTCAGGTAGTACCAACCCCGGGTCTTATCCCCCCCGGCAGTAACCTTGGGTATATAGAGGGTCTGGAAAACGGAAAGGGGCATCTCCACCCCTAATGACGCCTCTTTCCACAACATCCAGGAGCCCCCATCTGGCTCCAGGAGTTTGGATTGAGCTGCGTCGGAGCTAGACCGTAAGACCTAAGCACCAACCTAAAGCATGGGTGGATAGGCAGCCTAAGTCCGGCCCTAAGGATCGCCTCGCTAATGGCCACACAGCCCGGCATTGGGTAACAGGCTCTCTCTTCCGGCCCGGGGAGGATCAAGTCTATACTGTCTGGGATCCTATATTCCGTCCTAAGTCTACCCAGGTCGGCCTCCCTCAATTTTGATGGGTAATCCGACGCCCCCAATGCACAGAAGTATCTGGGGGGCTATCTGGTCGCTTCCATATGTTCTCCCCCCCATTATTGCCCCAACTATTTTTGAGGAGGTCGTCACAATGGGCTCGTCCACCCTCACTATTTCTAAGCCCCTCCCCAAACCATAACTCCCTTCCGAGGCTATTCGTTAAGAAATTTTTTATAGTCCAAATGGGTGTTGAAACTTACGGGTTTGGAAGTTTTTCCTAGCCGGGAATGATGCAGGATCGCCGGAGGTATCGTTCTCTCTCGTCGGAGTTGCTTGTAAAACGTCGGAAATCGTCGAAAATTTGAGAGCAAATTATGTTTTTAGTCTCACGAAAGTAGAAAACTCTGAGAAAACCCCAGAGTCCTCCTTTTATAGGAAAAACAAGTCCAATCTCCACCGTTGAATTCAAATGNAGGGGCATCTCCACCCCTAATGACGCCTCTTTCCACAACATCCAGGAGCCCCCATCTGGCTCCAGGAGTTTGGATTGAGCTGCATCGGGGCTAGACCGTAAGACCTAAGCACCAACCTAAAGCATGGGTGGATAGGCAGCCTAAGTCCGGCCCTAAGGATCGCCTCGCTAATGGCCACACAGCCCGGCATTGGGTAATAGGCTCTCTCTTCCGGCCCGGGGAGGATCAAGTCTATACTGTCTGGGATCCTATATTCCGTCCTAAGTCTACCCAGGTCGGCCTCCCTCAATTTTGATGGGTAATCCGACGCCCCCAATGCACAGAAGTATCTGGGGGGCTATCTGGTCGCTTCCATATGTTCTCCCCCCCATTATTGCCCCAACTATTTTTGAGGAGGTCGTCACAATGGGCTCGTCCACCCTCACTATTTCTAAGCCCCTCCCCAAACCATAACTCCCTTCCGAGGCTATTCGTTAAGAAATTTTTTATAGTCCAAATGGGTGTTGAAACTTACGGGTTTGGAAGTTTTTCCTAGCCGGGAATGATGCAGGATCGCCGGAGGTATCGTTCTCTCTCGTCGGAGTTGCTTGTAAAACGTCGAAAATCGCCGAAAATTTGAGAGCAAATTATGTTTTTAGTCTTACGAAAGTAGAAAACTCTGAGAAAACCTCAGAGTCCTCCTTTTATAGGAAAAACAAGTCCAATCTCCACCGTTGAATTCAAATGCAATCAATCTAAGCCGTTCGTCGCATCCTCAATCCGGTCCGTTGAAATGAAACGCCAGATTTGATCTACGCTCAAGATGTCGCTGTGACCTTCACGCTAAATTGAAACGCGTCACCTCGGTTACAACCAGCCGTCAATAATAATTACTAGCCGCAGCAGCCTTTTAGGAGAATGGGCATGGCACCCAACTGTCACCTTGGAAACACGCAACAGTTGTCAAATCATTGGACGTTTGGGTCGCCTCAGATGAGCTCCTTCCTCCAACTTTACAAAGTTTGGACGCACCTGACGCGAACGGCCCATTGGGTCGTAGCCTCGGAAGCTGCGTTTCCTCCCATGCTTTACAGAGTTTCAGTCATCTCCCCACGCGTCGACCTTTTCCTGTCGACGCATCGGTACAAGATGAGCTCTTCCTCCAACTTTACAAAGCTTGGACGCACCTGACGCGAACGGCCCATTGGGTCGTCGCCTCGGAAGCTGCGTTTCCTCCCATGCTTTACAGAGTTTCAGCCATCTCCCCACGCGTCGACCTTTTCCTGTCGACGCATCGGTGCGAGATGAGCTCCTCCTCCAACTTTACAAAACTTGGACGCACCTGACGCGAACGGCCCATTGGGTCGTCGCTTCGGAAGCTGCGTTTCCTCCCATGCTTTACAGAGTTTCAGTCATCTCCCCACGCGTCGACTTTTTCCTATCGACGCATCGGTGCGAGATGAGCTCCTCCTCCAACTTTACAAAGCTGGGACGCACCTGACGCGAACGGCCCATTGGGTCCTCGCCTCGGAAGCTGCGTTTCCTCCCATGCTTTACAGAGTTTCAGCCATCTCCCCACACGTCGACCTTTTCCTGTCGACGCATCGGTGCGAGATGAGCTCCTCCTCCAACTTTACAAAGTTTGGACGCACCTGACGCGAACGGCCCATTGGGTCGTCACCTCGGACGCTGCGTTTTCCTCCCATGCTTTACAAAGTTTCAGCCACCTCCCCACGCGTCGACCTCTTCCTGTCGACGCATCGGTGCGAGATGAGCTCCTTCTCCAACTTTACAAAGCTTGGACGCACCTGACGCGAACGGCCCATTGGGTCATCGCCTCGGACGCTTCGTTTTCCTCCCATGCTTTACAAAGTTTCAGCCATCTCCCCACGCGTCGACCTCTTCCTGTCAACGCATCGGTGCGAGATGAGTTCCTCCTCCAACTTTACAAAGTTTGGACGCACCTGACGCAAACGCCCCATTGGATCATCACCTCGGACGC